AGAGGGTGCCGTTTCTGGGATGGAGTTGGGTACAGAAGGGGGTTCGGATCTGGGGCAGGAGTACTGTATAAGAGAGGATGCTGGATCAGGGAGGGAGTTTGGATGCAGGAGGGGGTTGTGATCTGGGGCAGAGGGTGGGCGTGTATAGGGGTTCCACAGTCAGGCTCTGCCTGTCAGTCACTTATCATAGGTGACTCTCAGCTAGCGGCTCAGTGGGACCCTCAGATAGGCTCCTGACTGCTGCAACCCCACAGGCTATTCAGAATGGCTGGGAACAGCGGGTCTCTGTGTGCCATGTGCCTACAAGCACTCCCATTGGCTGGTTTCTGGTCCATGGAAGGCTGTGAGGATGGTGATGGAGTCTGGGGGGAAGGTGTGGAGTCCCACTTGCTCTCAAAGGGTACGTGCCTCACGGATGCAAGCTGGCCACTTTGAGCGTTGTGTGGGGCCGCGGCAGGCAGGGAGCAAGCACAAAGGTCCTGGTGACCCTCTGCAGTCCAGATCCAAATGTTTGGTGGGCTGGATGTGGCCGACAGGCCTTATTTGCCCACCCTGCCCTAGCAAAAAATAACTTCAGCAGTTCTGCTTCCCCCGGAGGGCAGCTGTGGCTCTAGAACGCAGCAGCTGCTCTTAGCAAGTTCTAGCCAGCTAGGAAAGAATTAAGAGCCTGCTTTCTTCACAGCTCGTCGGGCCAGGTCAGGAGATGAGATGTGAGACAAACAGCCTGGGGCTGCTTGGAGGAGTAACGGACAGGAGCTCATAAGGGCTAGTTTGGGAGGACAGACTGGGGTTGGGGCTGAATGGAGGGAGGTGCAAGGCCATATGGGCAAAGGGGGAGGGGTGCAGAGCTACAAGGGGAAGGAGAATGGCTAAGTAGGGATACAGACACATGGAGACGGGGTGCAGGGACACATGAAAATGACGGGAAGGGGCTGGCTGAGGGATGCAGGTTTAGGGGTCATTTCATAACAATCCCTCTTCTCTCTTCAACCAAACCTGTTCCATACTTTCCCCACCAATACACAATAACCCTTCAAGTTTATACCCAGGATCTTTCCCAGCAATTCCTTTCCTTTGGCTTCTCTGTTCTCCCTGTCTCCCCACTGCCATTGTGCTGCTTCTGGGGGGTGCAGGAATTATGGTTCTGCCTTCTAGTCTCAATGCATTATTGTTCAGAGTACCATATTAATACATCTAGAAAGGAATCTATTTGTCAAACAACATTTCCTGAATCTTTGTTGTCTGTATTGTTACAGACGTATTTGCTGTTATTTTGCAACAAATTACCCAGATAATTAAAACTGTTGTGATTATCTTGTGTTATTTTGACAAATAAAATACACAGAATTTTAAAATATTGGGTGCAGAATTTTTATCTTTTTGGCACTGAATTCCCTCAGGAGTAACATGAAGAAGCAGGAAAATCATTGTGATAATTGTGTGAACTTTAATATCTTTGACTATTGGAGGATTGTGTGACACCTGACCACAGCTCACAACTGATGCGTATGTGTGCACACCACACAGTGATCTCTGCAAAGATAGAGCCTGCTTTTCTTCAAATAGACTCTGTTCTTTCTGCAGCTCTTTAGGATGCAAGGAAAACTATCTCCTTTGAACATGCCTCTTTCTTTAAAAGATTTTGGTTGAACCTGTTCTTCTTTGGGGAAAAAAATCTAATATTAAAAGTTTATCACTCAATCAAACCACCCCATGTTTCACAAGGCTAAAACAAGGAACTGGAATGTGTGTTATGTGACTTTCAAAATCAATGCATTTAAATAGCTTGCTTAACAACAGGATACCAACTCCAAGCCAGCTATCATGAGAACTCCTTCCTTGGAGTGTTACAAGACTTGAGGCCCTGTGACATGCTTTAACACCTTCAGGAACAGGATTATTTCATGATGCCTTACACACTGGAGCTGCCACACTATTTTTGTTAAATTAGTGCATACTTTCCTAAGGGGGCCAAGAAATATCAGCTGCCGGATCGAAAATTCCTAGTCAAGTAGCTTTGTGTAACCCTAGTCCAAAGGTCTGTTAAACAGAGCTCTTTGCAGGGCATAATGTTTGTTAAAGGGTTTCTCTACACAGCGTGGCAATGTGCACTACAATGTAATTTCTAAGGACACTACTTTGTTGCACAGTAATTGGTCTGTGTAGACTCTTCGTTTTCACTAAAGTTTCCTGACTATGCTTCAACCTAGTACATGCTTCAAACACCACTACAATTCGGAGCACTGGGGAACTTCTGGTGTGCATGAGTAGGCTGTACGCAGACCAGTTAGTGCACAATGGGTTAGTGCGCTTTCAGAATGAAAACCCTGTGGTGTGCATTGCAGCATGGTGTAGACAAACCTTAAGTCGGTAGCTGGTTAATAACAGAATATCTGAGAGGTTTGGCAGCTCCAAGAGAAGGGACGTGTATGAAAGAACTACTGGGTTTGTGGAGGTGTTATTACTTAAGTACCTGGAAAGATACATTGGATGCATTTTGCTAATAATAATAACAATCCCTAGCTCTTTTCATCAGCAGGTAAATAGATCTGATAGATTTCAAAGCTCTGTGCAAAGGAGGTCAGTTTCATTATCCCCCATGCTACAGGTGGGGAAACTGAGGCAGAGACATGGCTTCCCCAAGGTCATCCAACAGGCCAATGAAAGATCTGGGACTAGAACTCCAGTCTAGTGCTCTTTTAGGCCACGCTGCCTAAATGCTTCTAAGGAAATCATTAATTTATTACTGTCTGTGACTTGCTTTGATGGGGGCTCTTTTAAGGGTCTCATGCTCCTCTGTGTTAGTTACTCCTGTGCAGGTGAGTGGAAGGGACCCGTGTGATTATCTAATCTGATCTTCTGTATAACACACTTCATACAGCTTCCCCAAATAAATGACATCTATTTTAGAAAAAAAATCCAACCTTGATTTAGAGATTCAGTGATGGATAATCTGTCACAGCCGTGGATAAATTGTTCCAATGGTTAATTACTCTGTCAAAAATTGTGTGCCTTATTTCCCGTCTGAATTTGTCAAGCTTCAACTTCCAGCCATTGGATTACGCTAGTCTTTCTCTATTTATTATATTTATTAATGTACTATATTTAATATATTCATTAGGCTTGGGTGGAAATATGAACGCATTAAATCAAGATTATTAAGCATAAAAACCTGCATAACACAAATGATTACAGGGGGAAAAAAGAAACAATTTGTGGCTCTTTCTTGAGGTCTGTACAGATTATGAAAGTGTTGTGGGGATGCCTGGGCTAGTTGCCTCCTATAGCCATCTGGCCATCCCCTGTAGCAGAAGTGGGCAATAATTTTTTAAGTGGGGCCACTTCACAAATTTCTGAAGTGGTTGCAGGACACTCTGGAAGAGGTGGGGCCACAGGCGGAAGGGGCGGGGCCAGGAGACTGTGTGCTCCCCAGACCACAGATTTTGATTGACCTACTAGGGGCAGGGGAGCATGTGAAGTCCCTCTCCCCCTTCCCTGCCCTGCCAGGGGCGTTCAGCGCTTAGAGAGAACCACCAGCTGTTTTGAAAAGCTGGCGGTTCCCTCTACGCTCCGCATGCCCCTAGCGGGGGAAGGCGACTTCATGCGCTCCCCTGGCCAATCAGGGCCTGGGGGTAGAGGAGCGTGCAAAGTCTCCCCCCCCCCCACCCTGCCTAGTGAGAACCACCAGCCATTTTGAACATCTGATGGTTCCCTCTGGTTCTGCATGCCCCTGGCAGGGGGAGGAGACCTTGCTCTCTTCCCTGTCCCCAGGTCTCGATTGGCCTGGGGGTGGGAGGAGTGTCAGGGCTGCTGAAGGCCAGATCAACCGGGTTGGCAGGCTGGACCTGGTTGGCAGATGCCGTCTTGCTCACCCCTGCCCTGTAGCCTTTGGCAGCAAGAACTACCCTGTCAGAACCTTCCTCTACTTGTCTGCCCAAGAATCCTCTTTGCATGGTACATTTCTACATCATGGCATAGATGTGGGTGCATTGGCAGGTGCCACACAGAACACAGGTTTAGGGCACTCTGATTTCACTGCAGGTTTTGTGTGTGGAGAACATTTAGCAGAATGCAGCTGCTCTTTTCCTTTGCTTTCTGCTCTCTTCTGCACCTTCCTGAGTCCATCTCCTCTCCACTCCCAGAAGAGAAACAGGAGGGGGTAGCACCACGGGCCTTGTACCAACTGAAGATTTTTAATCAGGCTCCTAGTCATTAAGGTTTCTTTGTATAGCTGCATTACAGGCATTGGAAAGTTTGGCTCAAAATGGGCTCAGAGTTTTGTTATAAAATTAATGAAAAGACAGGCAAAGAGAGGTGATTGTCCTGCTGTACTTGCCACTGCGGAGGCCTCACCAGGAGTGTTTTGTCCTGTTTTGGAGAGAATCCAGAGGAAGAATGTTGAAAGATTTAGAAAGCCAGACCTATGTGGAAATGTTAAAACAAAAATGCTGGGTATATTTAGTCTTGAGAAAAGTGTGAGGGGAACCTGATAACGTTTTCCAAATATGCTAAAGACTGTTATAAAGACGATGAGAATGAATTGTTCATGTCCACTGAAGGTAAGCCAATAAGTAATTGTTTGGCTCTGCAGCAAGGCAGATTGAGGTTAAATATTAGGAAAATCTTTCTGACTATAAGGATAGTTAAGCATTAGAATCGGCTTCTAAGAGAGGTTGTAGAATCTTGCCATTGAAAGTTTTTAAGAACAAATTGGACAAAATCCTGTCAGGAATGGTTTAGGTTTAGTTGGGTCTGGACTAGATGACCTTTAAAGGTCCCCTCCAGCCCTATATTTCTATGAAACAAGAGACACCGTTTTAGCATTTCCTATTGTTCCTTTGCTGGATCATGGAACCACTGCTCTTGGAAAGGCTTGCTGCCTGTATACATGAATAATTATACCATTTAGCAGAAAGTATATGACTTCCTCTCACTTTCTCCTTTATTTTTAAAGTTCTTTTTAATCTAATGACTTTGTTTTCTTCTTTTTTCTCTTGCAGGAACTACCTCTTCAGACTTAGTCTACACAATGTTTCTCTTATTCAGGTATGTTGGTTCATTTTTTTTTTACCTACTCGTTTTGCTAGATACGTTAATGAATTTGCTTGTGGAATCACTTGGTGCATGTTGTCACTATGCTTCCAGAGGGGCAGAGGGAAGAAATAGACTATGTGTTTGTTCCTTGAAAGGTAATGCTAAAAGAAAGGACATGCTTGTGCTTGACCATTTGCTAGCACTTTCTTGCTCTGCGTTCTTGAGTGTTTTCAGTGGTGAGGGGATGGGGGAAGGGAGTGCTGCTGAAAATATGGCATCTAAAGAAACAAAGCAGGTAGCATGATTGATAACTGGTGCGGCTAAAATAAAACCATACAAAGAAACCCTTGGCTTTCCTTAGTGCAGAGGTCAGCAGGTTGCAGGGATGGCTTTAACAGTTCTTGTCCCTCACCCTCGGGATGGAAGCATGGAATGCTGAAGAGCTGAATGTGTTACTAAAAACAAGATGAGACTTGTAGGTGTTAAAGGCACAACTAGTTGTAAGTGTGTGTCATCTGCCAGCCAGTGGTAGAGGAGAGGTTTGTATGCACTGGTCAGAAAGGGCATGCCAATGGGACAAGCAGGATTTCCCCCCTCTAGCTCGAATCTGGTACTGAAAGGTGCCGCAAAATTACCAATTTGAATGATCAGTTAATTAAAAGTACCTGTAAATAACAAATATTTTGGGATACAGACTGTTGTCTTCTGTAAGCACTGAATATGTGCCTTGCTCTTGTGAGATGGATAAAAGTGAGGGCACCCAATGTAGTTCAAGGCTACATTACAGCATCTCGCTCCATCCAGGTGCCAGATTGATGTCCAGTTGACTTTCCAGGGGTTCTTGCCCATGCAGAGTCAGGCTAAAATGCACTTCCCAGTGGGCAGTATTCAGAGTGGCTGGGCAAAGCATGTGCCACACCCTCTTTCCTTACACGTGAGTCTATTGACATTAAGCGTGGATGGAGGGCAGCATAGCGATTCAGCAGTCATGAACTTAATTCCTGTGCAACTTCTTGTTTTATTCAGTGAAGTAGAAGTGACAGTGGCGCAAACTCTAAAGGTTGCCCTCTTCTAACAGAACCTTCCCTTTCAAGGACTGCAGGTCATGTGTGCCTGCAGAATTCCAACTGGCTAGAGAAGAGATGGGGAGATGGTGACATAGTGTTTCTCTGTAGAGTGCTGGTTGTAGAGAGGGGCCATCGTAGCCTGTTGCTCGGGTTACCTCATGGGGTCCCCTGCATCCCAGCCAGATTGAGATTCTCCCGGGGGGCGGGGAGGTTGGGTAAATGCTCAGTGGCGCTTCAACAATAACAAGTGCTTTGTGCAGCCTTTCTGCCCTGGGGTAAATTTTCTCCACAGTGGCCTGTGTGCTACATTCCCCAAAATGGAAAGCCCTCCTTTATGTAAGTGGAGGATGTGGTGGGATCTCTGGTGAACATAATGAGCTTAGTTTGTTCTTGCTTTCTGGGTGTATCCGGCCTCTTCTACAAGCCTCTTTGCATGACAATGAGAGCATGGAATTATGCGGACACACGTGTTGAGAAGGATGGAAACGAGTGTTTTTAGACTTAGTGGTTGCCTAAGTAGCTACTTGGCTTGCCTCTGTGAAGCATGTCATCCTGCTCGGAGAACACCCCATCCCTCTGTAGACCTCGTTGGAAGAAAAGAATAGAAAATCGAGCTGAGAAATTAAGGGGATGCTGATTTCAGTTCAATGGAAGGGGGAGTGAAGCAAGATTTAGAAAATAACAAAAGAGGGACTATTTTGTATTGAAGTGTTAGTGGCTTTCTTAAAATAGGATACGGATCCTACAGCTTGACATATATTGGGAGGGTCTTTTCTCCTAGTGGAGGGGTCTGATTCACTGCTCCCCATGGAACCCATGTTGCAGGCTGCCAGCAGCACCAAATCTGCCTGAAGATGGGGACAACATAGTGTCTGTCTCCACACCACCCCTGCTTTGCTGAGGTAGAACTGGGCAGCTTTGCCCACAGACGAGGAACGGTGTGCTAAGTAGGGGGCAGACCCATAAACATACAGAAAGACCTTGGTTCAGCTCATCTTCTAGGTAGGCTTTAGTGGAGGGGCTCCAATTGAGCACTAGTCCCAAGTTTAAAGCTGCCTTCCCTGCCACCTCCTATGGCCACAGCTGACTGTGGGTAAAGGGTGAGTGGAAATTTCCATCACACTGCACCCGTAGAGAATAATCAATCCAGTCAGTGTTTTTGCCATTAAGGAGGCTGATCATATTTTTTTTCCAATGAGCCTAGCAACACTGGAGCAATATCCTAGTGACACTGTTACCTGGCCACCGACGTGGATGCGTTAATATCTCTCCTGTAATATGAAGATTTAGTGGCTAACTTTGATTAATGCGTCCCCCGGCCCCATCTTTTTTTCAATCAGTAAATGAACATTTCCTACTGTTAAACGGGTGACAGAGTCACTTATGATGTACATTACATTATTCATTGCTTCCATTCAGAGGAAATCCTTGTGCCCTTGAGAATTTTGTAGTTACCATTTCACACGGCCAAAGTAAACCACCTTGGTGCTGTTCTGGAACTTTTGGATTTCTTCTTTCCACTTAGCTGCTGAGTCACTGTGGACTGTCGTCATTTAGGCGCTGATCCAAACCAGCTCAGTCAAGAGTGTTCCTCTGACTTCAGTGCCCCTGACACCAGGCTTGTACTGGAGCATTAATTTTTGGTCCATCACAAAAGTCTGCTCCAGCAGCGAAGATTTTGTATCTTTTCTGGTTCCAGGTTGGGCTGCCATTGCTAACAGTTGTTTACTAGCACAGGGAGAACAGCTGGATTTTCAGATTGCTGGTGGTTCTGAAAAATAGGTTAAAAAAATTCAACCTGAATTCAATGCAAAGAATCTGAAGAATTTCAGTGAATAGAAAAAGCTGACGACAATTTTATTTTAGGTCCAAACAAACTGCTCAGTGCTGTTTGCTTTTATGGTAAAAGATGCCCCAGAGGAAATAAAACAGTCAGAAGAGGTAATGGTGTTAACTGCCTTTGTTTTCCGTCTCATCTATAGTCCAGTGTTCAGGGCACTCACCTGGTATTTAAGAAACCAAGCTTCAATTCCCCCTTCACTGCATATGGAACAGGTATTTAAACTTGGGTCTCCTACATTGTGGGGGAAGTACTCTAACTGTTGAGCTATGGATGGTTTGGTAGAGGAGTCTTTGTCTCTTCTATTGAAGCTGTTCCATTTTTGGAACCTTTTTGGAAATCTAAATAGAGGAGCAAGGATTTGTACTTGGTTCTCCCACATGATTTTTCAAAATAGTTTATTTGCTGGCAGGGGAGGGGTGGGGATTGTCCATTTTTGTACTCCATACAGCATTGCAATGAATGCTTATAAACTCACAGATCAACAACAAAACTGTGCTAAACTGACATGTGATTCCACCCATGTTAAAGTGAAATAGAACGTTCGGATTGGGCCTGCCTTGGGCCGGGGGCTGGATTTGATGACCTCCTGAGGTCTCTTCCAGCTCTATGATTCTGTAATTCTAAGATTACTCCCCATATGTAAAATATGGTGCTAGGATCTTGAAATTATAATTACAAAAACAAGCTATAACAAATGTCTTGCCCATCTACTTAAAGTTTGTTTCATATCCTTGTTTTCTGACTTTCCAGGGGACAGGTTCTTAAGATTTCCTGAAAATCAGCTCCTTTATGGTACCTCAAGTTGGAGGTACCTAAAACATCAATCACTGTTGAAAATCTGGTAGATTTTTTTTTTTTAATTCTTGCAACACTCAGGAAATTTGCCTTTAAAACATACAGTTTTTTAAATCTGCTGATGTCCCTTTAAAATTAAATCCTTGCGTTTTCCTTTTCCATTCTGAAAGCAGCTCTCATGTATACATTATGTTTCCTAAATATTAGGCATTTTTAAAACTTGGCAATGATGTACATATATAGCACACACTGTTCTATTTATGCAAGAGCCAGTAACAGGGTTACCCTCTAATCCCCAGCTTTCACAGAGAGGCCAGTCAGAGGACTGTTTATACTAGACTTCACAATTAATAGATTAGGTGGAAAGTGTCAGTTTAAAAACAAAATCTTCATGGTGTATTTAAAAAAATACACTAGGCTAATTTGGGTCTCTTAAAAGGCCTAAACAAGGACATTTGCCAGCATATATAAAATCGCTCTGCTTGGCATGCATTTCCTACTAGGCTCTGAGTTGCTGAATACCCCTGCTCCTGCTGACTTCATTGAGAGTACTTACAACTAGAACTGGATGAATAACTGTTTTTTTGATTCACTGGCAGCTCGGGGAGGTGGGATTGTTTTGACTTGAACTGAAATGGAAAAATTCTGAAATTTTCAATGAATCTAGAAAGTTGATTTTTTGCATTGAATGAAACTTTGTTTGACCGGACACTTCTTCGTGCTAGATATTTTTAAAGGGGTTAGATTAACAAAATAGGGAAGGAAGTGAGGCTGCTCCTGATAACTTCTAGACTGATGGTTAGGACACTCCCCTGCAATGAGGGAGACCCTGGGTTGGTTCACCCTCTGCCTGATGGGAACTAGGGGGCTTGAACTTGGGTCTCCTACCTCCCTAGAGAGCATCCTAATCACTGGGCTTTGGGGGATTCTGGGGCAGGGCTCTCCCAGTCTCCTGTTTTACTGTGTATAAATACGTGAATAGTCATTGAGGGGCTGAGTGGAGGAAAGAAGAAAATGTGACTCTAGACCAATAGTCACCAACCAGGCCAGAGTCTAGACCAGGCGTCGGCAATGGGTGGCACACATGTCATAAGTGGCACGCAAGATGATTTTTTGCAGCATGGCATAGGGGCCGGGCACCCGGAAAGCAGAGCAGGCAGCATGACCCTGTGCTGGGCTCCACATCCCTGGGGCATGCAGGGAGCTAAGGGGTTAACACTCTTCTTCCCCTTCCCTACTACAGGCTCTGCCTCCTGCTCCAGGAGAGGGCGGGGCTCTGCAGACTGGGATGGCACCAGCTAGTCACA